CTTCCAGGAGTTTTTTTATGAATTTGGGTGCTCCTGCATTGGGTGCATATATGTTTACCAGGATTATATCTTCTTGTTGTATTGATCCCTTTAGTATTATGAAGTGGCCTTCCTTATCTCTTGTTATGGCCTTCACTTTGAGGTCTATTTTGTCCGATATAAGTATTGCTACCCCAGCTTTCTTTTCCTTTCCATTTGCCTGAAAGATATTTTTCCATCCTTTCACTTTCAGTCTGTGTGAGTCCCTTCTAATGAGGTGGGTTTCTTGTAGACAGCAGATGTATGGGTCATGTTTTTTTATCCATTCAGCCACTCGATGTCTTTTGTTTGGAGCATTTAGTCCGTTTACGTTTAAAGTTATTATTGAAAGGTACTTGTTTGTAGGCATTTCTGTTTTTGTGTGGCTGTTTTCTTTCTGAGCTTTTTATTTCTTATTTTTATACCAGTCCCTTTAGCATTCCTTGCATTGCTGGCTTGGTGGTGATAAACTCCCTTAGCCTTTTTTTGTCTGTGAAGCTTCTTATTTCCCCTTCAAGTTTGAATGATAGCCTTGCTGGATAGAGTATTCTTGGATTCAGTCCTTTGCTTTGCATCACTTTGTAAATTTCCGTCCATTCTTTTCTGGCCTGATGTGTTTCTGTTGAGAAATCATTTGACAATCTAATGGGAGATCCCTTGTATGTAACTTTCCGTCTCTCTCTTGCAGCCTGTAAGATTCTCTCTTTGTCCTGAACATTTGCCATGGTAATTATGATGTGTCTTGGTGTGGGTCTTTTTGGGTTCACCTTGTTTGGGACTCTCTGGGCTTGTGTGACTTTTTTCTTCCCCACCTCAGGGAAGTTTTCTGATATTATTTCTTCTAATAGGTTTTCTAATCCTTGTTCATCCTTCTGTTGTTCTGGTACCCCTATTATTCGTATGTTGTTTCGTTTCATGTTGTCCCAAAGCTCCCTTAGGCTCTCCTCCTGTCTTTTCATTTTTTTCTCCAATTGCAGTACATTTTGGGTGTGTTTTGCTTCCTTGTCTTCTAAATCACTAATTCGGTCCTCCGCTTCTCCTAGTCTACTGTTGATACTTTCAATGGAGTTTTTCATTGCAGCTATGTCACTCTTCATATCTTCTTGGGTCTTACTTAAGTTGTTGATTTTTTCATCTGTTTCTTCTAGCTTCTTCCATATGTTATCGATTTTTTCATCTGTTTCTTCTAGCTTCTTCCATATGTTATCGATTTTTTCATCTGTTTCTTCTTGCTTCTTGCTGAGGTTGTCGATTTTTTTCCTCCATCCGGTTTATGCACTCTAGGACCCTTATTCTGAATTCTTTTTCTGTCATGTTGCATGCCTCTGTATTACTTAGCTGCTTTTCTGGAGAGTCCTCCTTCTCTTTCCTTTGGGGGTTTCTTTGTCTACCCATGTTTGATCTCACTGACATACCTAGATGTTGAGTCGTTCAGTGGCTGCTCCCTTGGTGGCAGTGACTCCTTGGTCTGCGGTTCCTCTTCGGGCGGTTGTGGTAGCAGCTGCTCTTCAGTTGGCAGCAACTCCTCTGGTGGGTGCTGTTCACAGCTGTGGTGGCTCTTCTGGCTGGTGGGGCGAGGTTTCACGTACAGCTGCTGTTCCTCAGCAGAGGGTGTGGTGCTCAGGAGGTTGCTGTTGCTTGGATCTGCTGTGTTGATTTAAAGGCACAAAATACAACACAACAAGGCACCACGTACCAGGCACTATACACAAATATATTCACGATATTAATAACCCCAAATAAAGGTGACCACCTGAATTAAGAGAATTAGGGGATAAGAAAGAAGGAAGAGAAAAAGAGAAAAGAGAAAAAAGAAAAGAAAATTAGGGACCAAAAAAAGGAGTGCAAAAATGAAAGTGGGAAAAAGGGGGGGGGAAAGTAAAAGCGAGAAAAGAAAGGAAAAGAAAAAAAAAGAGCGAAAAGAGAGAATGAAGTGGAAGAGGGGAAGAGACTTTTTATATGAGGAGAATACTCCTATAAAACAGCCATTAATCCCAACAAATTCCAGCAACAGCTCCCTGGAGATAAATGCAAACTAGAAACAACCAATAATATAACAATGAAAATAGAATGGAGAACACTAATCCCAAAATAAAATAAAGAGAAAATAAAATGGCACTTTAAAAAAAATGGTAAAATGGTAGCAGTAATAATACTGGTTGAAAATAAGAAGGTAGTAATTAAAAGGGTAAAATCAGGTGATGGAAAAAAGAGGAAAAAAAAAAAGAAGAAGAGGAAAAGAAAAAAAAAGAAAAAAAATTGGTTTCTTAGTTAAAAGGTGAAAAAAAAAAAAATATTGCAGTAGTGAAGGTCCTTCGGTTCTTCTATTCTTCAGTGTGGCTCGCCTTAGACCTGCCAGGTATCCAGGAGAGTGTTGAGTTTCCCTGCGATACACTGTTCCTCTGTGTTGTAAACCACAGTCCTTATTTTAAAGCAAGCCGCATTTGTTTCCCAGACTGCCTTATTTTGTGTTTAGCAAAGAGTCAGTTTGTGGGTCAGCCTCTGGGTGGCAGTGTTCTGGGGTTGGCCTCTGAGGCTACAGGGCCTCTCTGTCCAGTGGAAGTTCACTGCCCAGAGCTGGCTGCGTAAGAGTTACCAGTGCTGTGTTGTTGCTGGGATTCGTATTATTCTCTTTAGGCCTTCAACCAATTGGATGTGGTCTCACTGACATTATGAAGTCCAATCTGCTGTACTCAGAGTACATTAACTTTAGTTCTAACCTCATCCAAAATAGTCTTACAGAAACACCCAGGATACTAGTAATGCTTGACCAAACTTCTGGGTACCTGTGGCCCAGCCAAGTGACACATAAAATTAATCAATATGACGGTAATACCAATACTGATTTTGCAAACATAAAAGGATAAGAAGAGAACACTGTGATACATTTTATGAATCATACTTGACAATTTGGATGAAAGAGGCAAATGATTTGAAAACCTTACTTATAAAAACTGACACAAGATGAACGAGAAAAGCACTGCCCCTTTTTATCAATTAAGGAAATGGAATTCGTCATTGAAATCATTCCTTCATGGAATATATCTTCTCTAGATGCCTTCACCTGTGAGTTCTACCAAGCAAGCACTAAAAGATTCTTTCACAAAAATAGAAGAGGAGGACATACAAAGGTTGGGAAGAGGAAGCAGCCCTGGGGGCAGATAGAGGGGGAGTTGGGAAGAGGGAGCAGCCATAGGGATGGATAGATGGGGAGTTGGGAAGAGGGAGCAGCCATGGGGGCAGATAGAGGGGGAGTTGAGAAGAGGGAGCAGCCATGGGGGGGGATAGAGGGGGAGTTGGGAAGAGGGAGCAGCCATGGGGGCAGATAGAGGGGGAGTTGGGAAAAGGGAGCAGCCATGGGGGGGGGGGGATAGAGGGAGAGTTGGGAAGAGGGAGCAGCCATGGGGGTGTGTAGAGGGGGAGCTGTGAAGAGGGAGCAGCCATGGGGGCAGATAGAGGGGGAGTTGGGAAGAGGGAGCAGCCCTGGGTGGCAGGTAGAAGGGGAGTTGGGAAGAGGGAGCAGCCATGGGGGCAGATAGAGGGGGAGCTATGGTACAACAGGGAGATTTCAGAGGGATGAAACAAAATGAGCAAGAAGAGAAAAATGGTGGCCCCTGGGCGAACTAAGCCAGTTCAGCACGGGACTTCACAGGGGTCTGTCTGTAAGCATGGCCTTAGGAACACCTAGGAGATGGGCCTGTGCCAGGGGGAGGTTATGGCTGCCCCATCTGGTGGAAGGCACAAAGGAAGTTCATGTTCTGGAGAGAGACTCTACAGCAGTGTCACTGGCATCTAACGGAGACGAAGTCTATTTCCTCTCACTTCGCCAGGCGGCCGCCCTTCAAAATCTAGTTCAAAATTCATCTCGATGAGGCCTCCTCCTTTGCTTGTCTTTTCGGACAGCACGTAGTAGGTCTCTTTACAGAGCTAACGTGCTGCACCGCATTGTACTGTGGCTGTCTGTTTCCTCACCAAGGGAAGAGGGCCAAAGGCAGGAGTGACAGCGCATTCATCTCCTGTAGCAGCTAGTAGGGAGCCTGGAACACAGTAGGCATTCAGTCTTCAAGGCCAGCCCTCCCCTCCTTCCATACACAGCGTTAGTGATACACACAGCCACCGTGTTCCTCGGACCATTAAGGACAGGCCGGCTTTCCCATTCTCGGTCTTGTTCTCTCTCAATAAACAATCAACATATCCTGGAAACTCCAACTGACATTTTCACAATTCCTTTTGCAATTTGGGTGAACACAGGCACTCTTTGTTTGACCATGGGTACCAATTTTTTCATTCAGAGAATGAGTTCACCGAAGTATATGCCACGCTGCCTGCCAGAAATTAATTGTGAGAATGTTCTGTTCAATGGATAGCGTGCTGGGGTTGCCCAATCCTTATTTAAAATATCCACAGCGCTTGTTTCTTTGCTTTGACATTTGAACCAGCTCTATAGCGTTGGGCAAGTATTTTGATTCCCATACATCTACACGCCAAAGTTGAAAAATAAGGGGCCTATTTTTCCTTCAGAATTGTCTCATGCCTGTATCAAAATACCAAGTTACTATGGTGACAGCTACTCTGGTAAATAGGGCAACTCTACCCCCCTATAGAAGCAAATGGAACACAAAAGGGAGGCAAAATCAGCTCTGAAATAGAGGACAAAAGCGCCCGGGGGAAATCCCCACAGGAGAGAGATAAAGGCTGTTCCAGATAAAAAGTCTTGGAAGGTGACAGGCATTTCTCAGCCCTCCTCCCCACAGGCCTGAGTGCCAGCCAAAGGGGGAGGGCCTTGAGTACCTGCAGGGAGGGGACTGCGCAGGGCTGGGGGCATAGGGAAATTAAAGAGTTAATGACAATGCTGACCAGCATTCAGTGACAGCCTGCCCTGGCCTAGCACCAGCTACAGGCTTTATGCACACGCCCATTCAATCCTCTTACCAGGTCTGGAGCTGGGTCATGAGGCTACTCAGGAGTGAGGCTGGGATTCCATGTCTGCGCCTCAGCTCTTGACTGTGAGCCTGGAAGGTAACGAGGAAGAAGAGGAAAGGCTAATGAAGAGAAACCGGCCTTGTTGTTACCTTAGCAAAGAGTGAGGAGGAGAGGGAGAGAATCAGTCAGGGTCTGACTGATTACAGCTGCCCTTGCCCTCAGCAGGCAGGACAGGGGGAGAGGGGCCAGGGATGGAGGGGCAGCAGGCAGGCCAGGGGGAGAGGGGCCCAGGGCTGGAGGGGCAGCAGGCAGGACAGGGGGAGAGGGGCCCAGGGATGGAGGGGCAGCAGGCAGGACAGGGGGAGAGGGGCCCAGGGATGGAGGGGCAGCAGGCAGGACAGGGGAGAGGGGCCAGGGATGGAGGGGCAGCAGGCAGGACAGGGGGAGAGGGACCCAGGGCTGGAGGGACAGCAGGCAGGACAGGGGGAGGGGCCTGGGGATGGAGGGGCAGGGGCAGGACAGGGGGAGAGGGGTCTGAGGATGGAGGGGCAGCAGGCAGGACAGGGGGAGAGGGGCCTGGGGTTGGAGGGGCAGGACAGGGGGGAGCGGGAGAGGGCAGGGGCAGTGAGGAGAGAAGAGGAAGTTCTGCCACGGGATCCATTCAGGAAGCTGAGGCCTGCAGGCCTGCAGTGAGCTTCTCTGGGTGAAGGTGTCTCGCTTGCTCCCCAGTCTCAGCGGCGTGTCTTCCTGCAGTGAACCTGCTTTCCATTTCATTTCAATCAAACTTCGATGAATTGATAGGTGTGGGGAGATGGTGACTCTCATTGTCTGAAACAGCCCTGATTTCTAGCTTCCTTTTAGACAGCGGCTCCGTGGAGGGAGGAAGGGGACCTCCATGTTCTCTGCTGCACCGTGTCCAGAAGAGATGGGACCTGCGGGGTAGGCCATGGAGACGGCGCTGGAGTGAAGAGGCCCAGCCCAGCAGGGACAGAAAGGCTTGTCCTAGAACCTGCTCCTCTCCTCCAGCATCCAGGACTGCAGCCCCAGCCAGTGCTCAGTGCTGCACTGCAGCCCCAGCCGGTCCCCAATGCTGCACTGAAGCCCCAGCCAGTGCCCAGTGTTGCATTGCAGCCCCAGCCAGTGCCCAGTGTCACACTGTAGCCCCAGCCAGTGCCCAGTGTCGCACTGTAGCCCCAGCCAGTGCCCAGTGTCACACTGTAGCCCCAGCCAGTGCCCAGTGTCGCATTGCAGCCCCAGCCAGTGCTCAGTGTCACACTGTAGCCCCAGCCAGTGCCCAGTGTCGCGCTGCAGCCCTAGCCAGTGCCCAGTGTCGCACTGTAGCCCCAGCCAGTGCCCAGTGTCGCACTGTAGCCCCAGCCAGTGCCCAGTGTCGCACTGTAGCCCCAGCCAGTGCCCAGTGTCGCGCTGCAGCCCTAGCCAGTGCCCAGTGTCGCACTGTAGCCCCAGCCAGTGCCCAGTGTCGCACTGTAGCCCCAGCCAGTGCCCAGTGTCGCATTGCAGCCCTAGCCAGTGCCCAGTGTCGCACTGTAGCCCCAGCCAGTGCCCAGTGTCGCGCTGCAGCCCTAGCCAGTGCTCAGTGTCACACTGTAGTTCCAGCCAGTGCCCAGTGCTACACTGCAGCCCTAGCCAGTGCCCAGTGTCACACTGTAGCCCCAGCCAGTGCCCAGTGTCACACTGTAGTTCCAGCCAGTGCCCAGTGCTACACTGCAGCCCTAGCCAGTGCCCAGTGTCGCACTGTAGCCCCAGCCAGTGCCCAGTGTCGCACTGTAGCCCCAGCCAGTGCCCAGTGTCGCACTGTAGCCCCAGCCAGTGCCCAGTGTCTGCGCTGCAGCCCTAGCCAGTGCCCAGTGTCGCACTGTAGCCCCAGCCAGTGCCCAGTGTCGCATTGCAGCCCTAGCCAGTGCCCAGTGTCGCACTGTAGCCCCAGCCAGTGCCCAGTGTCACGCTGCAGCCCTAGCCAGTGCTCAGTGTCACACTGTAGTTCCAGCCAGTGCCCAGTGCTACACTGCAGCCCCAGCCAGTGCCCAGTGTCACACTGTAGCCCCAGCCAGTGCCCAGTGCTGCACTGCAATCCCATAACAAAGGCAGAAAAGTGAATATTGTTCTACAAAATAGGTTCTTTGGAACTTCATATGCTCGTTTTAAGGAAGGTCCCATTTGTGCGCAATCCTTTTGCTATGTCTTTGGAGCACTTGCAGTCACTTGTAATTATGCCTCATTTTTAGCCCAGAATTCTATTAACCAGATCCATTGCCCATTTTATTCACTACACCGAACTCCATATAACGTTCTTTTCAAAAATTGAATGCATTGTCAAGGGTTTAAAATTCACTATTGAGGGTTTTCCTGAATTGCTGTAAACTCAGAGCAATTCCAAGAAGCAACTCCAGAAGCGTTTTGGTCAAGGGTCAGCATCCATGGTCACTGTGACCTGGAAAGGTGACCACTTTGCTGGGTCTGAATTCTTACGGACATGTTGGCAGACTTGAATAAATAGCTACTGTGAAGATCAGACACATCAGATGATGGCTAACAACGTAGAATAATCACCTACAATGAAGACAATGTTAAGCAGATTGATTGCTGCCTGTACCTTGCATGCAGAGGAATCGTTTTTCGAGTTTGCTTTATTGCAAAATTTTTCATGCAGATTTTTGCTTTTGGAAATGACATCCTTAAGGAAAAAAATCTTACTAAGGAAATTCAGGCTTGCATTCATTCAAACACACTTGCGGGATGAAATACATATTTTCCTACAACAGAAAGTGATCTCAATCAGTAATAAAAGTACAACCGATTACTTTGAACAATGAAATCACTAATAGACACTTTCTAAGGACGTCCACAGCCCACATGCCATTATAGTCCTCACGGCACATTGAATGCCTGTAGCTCTGTGTAAATTGCCTATATTGTATGCCTCTTACTCAAGCAAAACTGTTGGCTCCATGAGGGTAGCGCTTTAACTATGCTAGTGTTAAACACCAGGAAAAGAATCTGACATTTTAAATGTAATTGGTCTTAATAAGCAAAACTACAAGCCAATAACCATTGCAAGTAATAACAATATGATAACATGTGTTGCCTCTCATTGCTGTCCCCTCAGTGAGAACACATCTGTTTAATGTTTCTGGCTTTTCTACGGCGCCTTGTTATTGGATGTAAAGAAATCTGACTGATAGTAAGAGTTTCCCCTGGAAAATTTCACTGGATCAATATTTGCATGATTTAATTTTATCTTAATTGGGTGCCCTGGGACTCTCCGCAGGGGGATTTTTCTCAATATGTGCCAATCCGTGCTCTCTTCCACTTGCTCTTCTTCAAATTATACCCAAAGGCACATATTCCAACTGTCCCCCTTTCTCCATCGATGCCACACTCAGAACTAAACCGCATTATTAGCAAGGTGTTACTATCCTCAAACGCAAGCCAGCTCACATTAGGGACCTACAGATGGAGGTGTACGCAAACCTAGCACTTTAAGTTGTAACTTCAAAGGGCCTTTCCCAGAGTATTCTGATTGAATGCAATGCAACATCAAATTGCTATAAAAAGCCAGTTTCTAATGTAAACTGTGTTTCTACTAGAATTTCACATATTTTTATGTATTAAGTATATTGCATTTGTTCTAAAAACTATCCAATACATAAAAGGTATAATCATGTAATAATGAACACGTATGTATTTATACCGGTTCAAAGAACAGTAACATTAACATGAACACAGTCTCCTCCCCAACCAGTTTCTTGTCTGTCCCCCTCAGATGTTACCACTAGACTATATCTTATGATTGTCATTTCCTCCTGATTTTAATAGTGTTATCAAAAATGTTGTGCCCATATATATATATATATGTGTGTGTGTGTGTGTATATATATATATAATTTTTTTTAGAAATGATTTTAGACTTACTGAAATATTTCAAAAATACTACAGGGAGTTCCTGTCTTGTATATCCTTTACCTAGTAGCCCTGAAATTTACCATCTTCCATCGCTCTATTATCAAAGCCAGAAACTAACATTGGAAAATACTGTTACATACAGACCTTCGCAAATCTCACCATTTCTCCCACCAGCGCGGACTTCTCTGCTCCAGGTTCCAGTCCCAGATTGTACATTGCATTTGGTATGGTTTTAATCTGCATAGATCCTTATGGTTTAATTAGAATGTTTTCCCATGTCTCAGGAGTGTGTGTGTGTGTGTGTGTGTGTGTGTGTGTGTGAGAGAGAGAGAGAGAGAGAGAGAGAGAGAGAGAGATGTATTTACAGCTTTTTCCAGAGTGTTCTATGAGGATCTTGATCCTTTGTCCTTCAGTTTTTAAGAGTTCTTTGCCCTGGTAAGGATCTGAGAACATGGCCTCCTGTTTCTGACAGGAGGAGGGGATCAGTAACCCCTGTAAATTGTTCCCTCCCCAATTTATGTTTCAGCCCCAGCGTTTGGGAAGTGATTGGGTTTAGACGCGGTGAGGAGTGAGGCGCCCTGATGGGATGAGTGCCCTTATGGGAGACACTGGAGAGCTTCCCCTCTCTGCCACCTGAGGACTCAACAAGAAGGCGGCCAGCTGCAAGGCGGGAAGGGGCACTCCCTGGGGAACTGGGCCTGCGGGCCTGGATTTGGGGCCTCCCAGCCGCCAGAGCTGTGAGCTACAATCTCTATGGTGGAAGCCACCCAGGCTTGGTATTTTGTTACAGCAGCCGGAGCGGACTAGTACAGTCATCACTGTGAAATATGTCCAGAACCTTCTCCAGAAGAAAGGCTGATGATCCAGAGGAGGAGGTTACTCCTGCTGGGAAACGCTCATTCCCCCACACCAGCCCCCTCTCGCCTTCCTTCTTGCTAACAGGGAAAAACAGCCATGGCCAAGACTTGGCCCATATTAAAGGCAGGTGTGCTGGAAAAGGCAACAGGAGACGGGGAAGGAAGCCATAGAGCTGAAGAAATACTTGGGAAGATCACAGCACCGAGGTAAAGGGTCACTAAAAGTCTGAGGTTTACTCATAAGACTACGGAATCTTTTCCCTCCCTCACGCCAGTACTATAATGTGGGTGGCAACCAACAAGAGCTGCAAGGCGCACACTCCTTCGGAGGACTCGGACTCGGGGAAGCCCAAAGGTAAGAGGTTGGGACAAATGCAGGGACAGGACAGGAATTTGAAGCCTCCGGAATTATTACTATAGCAAACATTAGCATAGCCTATATCATCGTCAGTTACCATAAATCCTCATACTGGAGGCCTATTTATCGCCAGCTTGCATTACTCAAAACCCCCACTTAAAAAAAAAAAAAAAAAAAAATATATATATATATATATATATATATATATATATATATATATATATATCAATGCATACCAAAAGGCAAGGAAAAAAAAAGTCTGAAGAGACAAGGCAACCAGAATCAGACTGAAATATGACACCTGTTGCAATTCCTAGATAGGAAATTTATAATAACTATTATCAACATGTGAAAGTCTGTAACGGGGAAAAGAAGACAGTATGAACGAACCAATGGGTAATGGAAGAGATGGAAACTTTAAGGAAGAGTCAAAAAGGAATTAGAGAAATACATAACATAGCGGCAGGACTGAAAAGGGCTCCCAGGGCTCATCAATAAACCTGCCACAGCCGAGAACAGAACCAGTGAGCTTGAAGGGAGGCCAGCAGAAACTTTCTAAACTGACATGCAAAGAGGAAAGAAAAGGGCAAACAAAAACCGCAAAACCGAAGCAGGACATGCAAGACCGGACGTTTGCAACAGGAGTGCCATAGGCATGATCGGAAGATCTGAAGAAGGAGAGGGGGAGTGGGAGAAATATCTGAAGGCATCATAGCCGAGAGCTTTTTAATATTAAGGGCAGAGAGGAAACCACAAATCCAGGAGCCTCGGAGAACATCAAGCAAGATAAAAACCGAATAAAACACACCTGGGCAGATGGTTCAACCTGCAGAAGGCCAAAGACAAAGAGAGAATATGGGGGCGATGGCGCCACAGCCCTAACTTACCGGCCATCACTGAATCACCCGATTATGGGTGAGTTTCATGAGATGTAACTTACACCTCAATAATGCTGTAAAAAAACCACGTCAGTGACTCTGAGCAGCTTTGAAAGCAAGTGTTGAGGTCGAGGCAGAAAGCCAACCTTTATCTACATCGGGAATCATTCTATGTCTTCCCCACGCAGGTGGCTCGCGGGAGGGGAGTTGCCTGGAGGCCCAGCGCAGGGCGGCTCCGCCTCAGGTGGACGCTGAGCAGAAAGCTTTGCATCGCCTTCCCCTTAACCCTGGGCCCTCCTGGACCTGGGCGAGGCGCTGTGGAGACCAGCGCTCCCTCTGCTGCTCACACAGCCCAGCTTTGGATCCGAGCTTTCCCCGCCTGTCCCTCACTTCCAATGTGCTTGTGCTTTCAGTTCCTTCCTGTCTGACTGATGGGTGCTTCTCCCCCCCCCCCCGCCCCCACTTTTTCAGTGAGATCAGAGCTGGCTCCCTGGGCACAGGGTTAGATGTCAAGCGAGCCCCACGTTCCCAGGGACCAGAGTCCGTGGGACCTTCGATGGGGCTCCTCTCTCTTTTTTTAATATGTTTTATTGATTTTTTACAGAGAGGAAGGGAGAGGGACAGAGAGCTAGAAACATCGACGAGAGAGAAACATCGACCAGCTGCCTCCTGCGCGCTCCCCACTGGGGATGTGCCCTCAACCAAGGTACATGCCCTTGACCGGAATCGAACCTGGGACCCTTCAGTCTGCAGGCCAACGCTCTATCCACTGAGCCAAACCAGTCAGGGGTCCTCTCTCTTTTTAGGGTGAACAGGCATTGTCTGTTCCTATCCGTGTCTTCCCTCTTCCAGAGGAAAAAAATAAATAAACGCCTCCAGAATGAAATCGCTTCGCTGACGTTTTCCCTCCGAGGATGCTTATCGGCTTCCCCGAAGCTCTCCTTGGGTTTATCTGTCTCACGCCTTCACAGTCTGATCTGATGATTGTTCTGTGTGCGCCTCCGAAGCCTTTAATCTCTGGGCGGCCATCGCTTGACAGGCCTCTCGCTGGGGAGGAGCAGGCTTTCCAGGAAGACTGCGTCCTTCAGGATGATCAGCCC